TTAAAATTTTTATGTGTCGCCCCCCCCCCCCCCCCCCCCCCCCCCCCCCTCCTGGAAGGGAGGGGGTTAATGTAAAACACATAATCAACTTGGTCTGGCCTAAACAAATGTCAGAGATTCATCCTTTTTAACTCCAATTCCATTCAGATAACAATGACCAACTTGGAACATTCCATCAGCATTTAACTTGGCAGATTTCTGATAATATAGAAATGCTTGAGATGCATCTTTTTCAACTCCAATTCCATTTATATAACAATGTCCAACTTGAAGCATCCCATCATTACGTCCCATATTTGCAGATTTTAGATAGTAATTAAATGCTTTATATTCATCTTTTTTAACACCAATTCCATTTTGATAACAATTATATGTTCCATGAACATGTCCTATTTCTGCAGACATTTGATAACACATAAATGCTTTACAATCATCTTTATCAACAATACCGTTTTGATAACAATGACCAAGTTTATACGTTCCATCAGCATGTCCTAACTCAGAACATTTTTGATAATAAATAAATGCTTTGTGGTCATCTCTTTAACACCAATTCCATTAGCAAAAAAAATTTCCAACTTGAAATATAGCTTTAGAATTACCCATTTCAGCAGATTTTTGATACAAATGAACGCCTTTGTTCATCTTTTTCAATGAATTCTCCGTAATAATAACAATTACCAAGACCAAAGATATTATCGGCCATATCTATCTTGATCTTGTGCTCATCCTTTTCAACTTCAATTTGATCAGTCTGTGATGTGTCAAATGGGTCTATAATCAGTAACTTTCACTGTTATATTGTACATCTTGAATGAATTTCAATTAATGGCATAACAATTATTGAATATGTTATTATATGAAAAATGAATACATATCATAATATTATAGAACTAATAATACCTTGATGATTAGGCAGCATGCTTAAACTCAGAGGCTTGAACTGTCTGCTGGTATAAACTGCTTTAGGATGTATTTCAGAGTGAATTATTTCTGATAAGTTTGATTCAAAACATTGCTCAAAATTTTTATCAGCTTCTATTCATTTGTGAAATGAATTCTTTTGAATTACTCCACATATTCAAGGTATCGCATACTTCTTTAGATGTTGGTCTTGTTTCAGGTTGAGCATCCCAGCATTTAATTATCAATTCAGCAACAATCTTTGGTATATATGTTGGAATGCTTGGACGTAAACCTCGATAACTTTCAAGTATTAAATGCAAATCATGTGGAATATCGTGGTATGCTAGGAGATCTGTTATTAATTCATATACTATTCCAAATGAATAAACATCAGATGCTGTACTATACGTCCCACTATATAATACTTCCGGTGCTATATATGGAATCACGCCACATATTTCATTTTTTGGTCCTAAATTTTCAATTAATATTGAAAGCCCTAAATCTGATATATATGCACCGCCGTTACTGTAATCATTCAATAGTATATTCCCACTATGTAAATCTCGATGAATAAGATTTTGAGAATGTCTGCAGATCAGAAGCAATACAATTCAACAGATTTAATTTCTTTTCCCATTTCATTTGTGATACATAAAAAATAGCTTCACGTAAGGAACCCACCACTGCAAGTTCCATAACAAAAATATAATCTTCAGA